AACATCGCGGGTCAGCGCATAACTAATGCAACCTTAAGTATATACCTCTGGATTTTGTTCCAGGTGTGTTTCAAAATGTCATATAATCACAGATGCTTTCGGCGGTAAAGAGGTGTGTGATGATCTTAAACTTAACAACTCTAACAATATCAAGTGTATTGCAAATAATTTTGGGAAGTATATGTCTGTGACACTCGGCAAGCTCAGATTATTCAGTTTATGGCAGCGCTGTTAGACAAACTAGTTAGTGCTTGCAAAAATTTGATAATCTTTCCGATCAATTTGGTGACCAAGCAAGCTTGCTAACACGCCAATGCATCTTTCAATACGAACACCTGAGTGATTGGAATACGTTTGATGAGACAGCACTAACAGAGAAGGATAGGTTCTATTCTGAGTTAAATTTAGCAGGTGTATCTGATGATGATTAGTTTTAAGCGAAATCGATCTGGAACGCGTTAGACTGTGAAACATTCGGTAATTATCACGCTCTTATTTGGCTACATATGTATTGCTACTCGCTGTAGTTTTTGAGGAGTTTCATAAAGTTAGAATTAGCAACTACGTGTTATACCGCGCATGGCATTAATCAGCACAAGGATTATTGTGAGACGAGTTACTCAACACAGTAGAGTAAAATTAGAGTTGCTCATAGATTCTGACATGTTCAACATTATCGAACGTGGATTCCATGGTGGCATCAGTGTCATAAGGAAAAAGTTCGTCCCGCGCGAATAGCAATTTTCTTGTTGGATTATGATAATGATCTTCCCTCGATGTTCATTATTTATCTTGACACAAGCAATATTCACAACAACGAGCTGTTCCAATATATGCCGTCTGGTCCCGTGGATAAATCCTGAACAGTTTTTTTGATGAAACATTAATCGCTGCAACAAAAGATTTATCAGAAGATCTTTCAGAGGCGTATCACTTTTTGTAGAAGTCGATGTTTTCTATCATGTTAAGCTGAATAAGTTACATTACTATTATCCGCTTTGTGCTGAGTCGATAAATATCAATTACAATTTACTATCGGAGAAACAGCGGTCGATGGCAAATGATATCAAACCATTAGGTGTTAGAGAATTGATTCCTAGTCTTCTCGTGTAACGACAAAATATTAATGCATTACACAGACCTGAAATAAGATGGCCTTGTATTGCGTAAAGTACATAGTGTACCCAAGTTTAATCAATCGCCATGGTTGAAGAGCTATATCGCTCTAAATACAGATAAAAAAACAGCATAAACTGCAGATTTTGAAAAGAACTTTTTCAAGTTGATAAACAACAAGAAATAAATATAAGATACATGACAGTGACATTTCTCCAGATTAAAAGCTTTTTCCTTCCGTGGATATTACAAATACTTGCTAAGTTTATTTACTTATTCTGGGCTAAATATTTCACTCTATGAAGAATGTCAATTTTAGCTGCGTGTAAGTTTTGTTAGTGACAAATATTTTTATGATGAAGTGTGAAGGAATGGGTAGCCAGGGATATAAATATAAATTGATTTGATCATAAACAAGACGACTATAGAACTATTTATCCTCAAACTTTAGGTTGAGAACAGCACAAAGAAAGTAAATGATCGCAGCATGAGGACAAACGCTGAAAAAGAATGTTGTGACCCAAATCACTCGGGTGACAATTACATTGAAAGAATATTATATGAAAAAAGATATAAAATGATTTGAAAAGTCTTTTCTAGAGTTTTTGATTTAACTCTTGGTTGATATTCTATAAAAATTTACTACTAAAATTACTGAAATTGTTTTTAAATCTAATTTCTGCATTTCTAATTGTTTGACAGCGGATTTATTTTGGTATTCTTGTTAGCCATTTCGTGGAATATCAGTTCGTCAATCTAGCGCAAACATATGCGTGCGTTCGTATGTGTGTATATATGTGTGTATGCATGTATGTGTGTATGTTCTGTCATACATTTATTCACACGGCAGAAAAGGGTTAAATTAGGGGAAAAGTTATTCCAGTGAAGCAAGATAATTTTGTAATTTTCAACATAATTTGATCATTCACAATCTGCGAGCCCTGCTTTGAATATTTTTCTACCTTTTAACAAAAATGTTACATTTACAATCTTATTTTGCTACATAATAAATCAAAACTGGATATCGTTATGGAGGTGTGGGGAGCAGTCGGGCGTAAACAAGTTGTCGAGGAATGTGGAGTAAGGAATGCCGTTCTGTACAAAGGGACGAAACCCACGGACGTTCCTGCAATTAAATGGTGTCCAGTTCTTAGTGTTAGCAATTTAGCTGTACAGTATGGAAAATCTAGCCCTAAACATAACCTGTAAATGCTTCGAGGCAAGAAATTAAAATAACATAAACTAGATACTGACAACAATAATAAGCCTTTGTAACCGGTCTATTAACTTATACGATCTTCACCCAATGTCCTTTACCTTAATTTAGTATAGATTGTTGTTATTATCTAATACATATGACATAATTCATTCCTTCAAAGATGCGTTTAGATATAAATATAAATGGGTCATAACACTCACACATACATACGAACACACGATGTACCCATTATACAAATCAAAATAAATAATTTAAAGGAAATCACCTCTATGTTTATATTATAATCTCTGAAATTTAAAAGTCATATGATGTCATATAAATCTGCATTTTGAAACTGGATTGGAATTAACATATCTGCCAACCGGCCCCTGGTAAAGGTGGCATCTGTCAATTAACTATAGAACAACACAGGGTTCAATGGGATTTAATGTATTTATTGGCCAGAAAGCATTCCAGACTGGACAGGGCAAACAGTACAATTTGTTGTTTTTGTTTTGTTCGTTTTTAACGGCACTTTCAAAACAGAAAACACAAGCTAATTACCAAGGACATACTAGGGCAGTCAACACAAGGACGACTGGACCTTTGAATTACGAGTACCACAATCTAACAACTGAGCTTTTCAAACTTCCGTGATTGCATCCATTTTACGCTTGTGTAAACACTAAAAGGTCATCAAATTACTGGAATACGATCCTCCATCCCTCTGCATATACACCCAGTTGTATTTAATGCATATCTATTAAGCCTAGTTACACGTTAGCAGGTATCATTTTCTTCAAGCTTAATCGGGTCGTTATCTGAGATGCAATGGAACATAAATCATCGTCTCGTGTTTACCATTCCTACTTGCTAATTAAATACCAAGGACAATGATTGAAAGGTTGTAAACATGCCTTTAGTTCCTTGACATTAACTTGTTTGTCAGGTTCGTCGAGTACCATTATATACAAGCAGGAAATGACTGGTACATGATTTGGTATATATGAATCTAAAATTACTATAGTATATGAATAAATACCTTTATTGGAGTCTGGTTGGCACATACCTCTACAAAAGTATACGAATTTTCCTCGTACACGCAGCATTCTCCGTGCTTCAGAGGGGTCCATGAGTTTGATCCTACCCCATGACTTTTACTGTTAAACATTGTATGAATAGTGACTTCACTGATAAATATAGTTTGCTCTAACGTAAATGGCTCATCATAATATGTTACTATTTTTACCTTGACATGACTTGGGTCACAAAAAGGAAAAGAAAACAAATTTATTGCAATTATATCAAACTTTGCAATTTTTAATTAAACTAATTTTCTGCGATACGGGACAGTTACGTTATTCCAACGTTTGGAAAATTTAACTGTTTTAAAAAAAACAAATATGAAGAAAAATGATGCTCAATGTCTATCAGATGTTCTATTGCAATACAATATCTGTTAGCAAAATCGCTGTATGAATTCGTTTTAAGAGCAAAGTAATATTGGTTACATTTACAATTGTTTAGAGGTTGATTTTGTTTTATTTCAGCAGTATCCAAATAATTTGATGTAGTACATATTATTTTAAATATAAATGTTTTATAACTTATTGTCGTAGTATTCTCTTTTGAAATGGTTGTTTGTGGTCTTTTAAGGCCATAACCTGAAATTACTGAGTTGCGTTTTATTGACAAGGAAAAGGGCAAAATAGAGAAATTGTTATCGAATATGAAAACAAAATTTCATTACACAATGTCGTACGGAAATTAACATAGTTTTGATGTACCATCGCTAAAGTCAAGACAATATTGTCAACAACTGCCGGATCAGATAAATTCACACAGTCCACGTTGCAGAATAGTTTTAATTTCTGTTATTTCGTTCATATAAGGAACAAATGTGATATGTATTAGAACTGTACGATGTTACCTGTATCCCGATTTACCGAGTCAGATTTTCCAGTATTGCATACCACATTACTTTTTCACTATACCGGTACGTATACAATTCAAGAAATGAAAGGAAATTCCGGTGGAATCTTGTCTTGAATTGCATCATATTAGCAACGTTTTGTCATTATTCTGGTAAAAATAGTTACAAAAATTATTTGTTGTTTACAAAACTTTTTTTCTGTCGCAAAGTAATGGTGAATGTTGCACATATAATTATATTTATTATCATCTAATCATACGTTTGACCCATGATGTAATTAGCAGAGCTTCATTGTGGCCGGTGATATTAACTGCTTATTTTGCACTCTCAAGATTTAATTAATTCCAGTGAATGTTAGTTTGTATATTTGTTAATCACAATGGACACTAACCCAGATATATTCATTGCCTGGAGTATATATCTTGGAAGGTACACCTCTGCACATCTGTATTTAGAAGCTCATTTCAGGTTATTTGCACACAGGAATTACAGAATTATATGATATATATATATATGATATGATTATGATTTTTAACGAAGCTTTAACATTTTTTCAGTCATATCGCTACGGTGTCTGCAGTGTGGCAGTTTATAGTGATGTCTATCACTGGGGCATCATGCCGCAGACATGTAGCATGATGTCCCACCCAGTCACATTATCCTGACACCAGGCCGACCAGTCATAACACTGGCCTCTTAATGCTGATCGTCAAGCGAGGCAGCTGTTAGTACCATTTTTGTAAGTTTTTGGCATGACTCGACCGGGGATCGAACCCACTACCTCCCGCATCCGAGATAGACGCTCTAACCACTAGGCCACTGGAGCGGTTTTACAGATTTATGCAAACAACGTATCTGTTGGACGATACGAGTGAACGGATGATAGTGTGCTAGTTTATAGGCACAGAAATTTCCAAAATTAATTTAAATTTTTAATGTACATTTTATATTCATTGTTCTTTAACAATGCAATTAATTATCGTCCACTGTTATTTTCACATAGATTAATATCTTCCGGGAGACATTGAGCAAGAAGGTACATAGTCATTAAAATTAACACGGTTCTAAAATAACAATAATTTATGTAAGTAAAACATACAAAAACTTTCACACACCTAAGCAATCAAGAGCCCTAGTTGTCTATGGAATGTCGTCCAAAAAAAAAAAAAAAACAACGTAGTTCACTGAAATCGTGTACTGAAGTAGGAAAAGTTACCGCAAGCTATAGTCATATACACAGTAATTGCGGTTGAGTTTATTGATATTATGAAACAAATTCTATAGCTGAGGATCATGACGGAGCAAACCTCAATACACTAGTATGCTAAATAACTAGCGCACATGTCATGATAGAGATGCCAAAGATTTTGATCAAGCCAAGCATACCAACATGACATATCTCAGGTTCTAAATCAAGGCTATATTAGAAGATATTTTGATCGGGAATTAGATAGTCTACCAGATATATGTATATCGAGAAATTGATAGAGTTCGCACATGTAATATGGTATAAGTCAGTCTTATTTAGCTGAGAACGATCGTTCTATAAATGTTATGCGTGTTCCCATTTGATACATAGTTAGCTCCAGGCTAGAGATCTTAACAATTTTAATGTTATAAGCCAGGGTCAAGTCCCTAACCCGGGGTTTGTGTTCGACATATGTTTAATTTTGTTCCTGCGTGACGTTCAAACATGTATAAGACCAAATATTATAGTGAGTGCTGATGATTTAAGAATATGCACTGAATCACTTTGTACATTCATAAGAGCGAAAATGAGAATTAGCCATTTTATACTTTCAAATCAATGCATAGGTAGCTTAAGGAGCGTGCACATTGTTTAGATCAAGAAATCGCTCGATATCTGACCGCCTCTGTATACTTATTTCCCTTCGAACATTTACAGTTGGAAAGTCTTCAGATAGTCTTTGAGGAGAAATACCATAGATTGGAATAAAATGGATGCTGATACCTTGAAAACATATCAGATAACCTGGACTATCACCTAAATTATGGACACTATTTCGAATAATGTTGATTGATATTATGGGTGCATTATTATTGCAATATTGCAGTCATCTGACATTACGCTCCGAAGGTCCAAATATAAATGTCACACCAAACAATGATTGTCACGTGAACTTCGAAAAGCACATAAGATTCAATGAGAAAACTAGGTATATAGTGGTAACCAAGGGGAAACCAGGGGATACAGAACCTAATTCTTACAGAGAATATAATGTTAACTTGAGAAGTATTTGAAAAATGCTACAACTATCTATGGACAAATATATGAGGAAGTCAACTAAGAAATTTAAAAGCCACGTAAATGGGGTGTAAGATATTTCTGGAGAGTCATTAATATTAAGAGACGTACAAATACAAATGTTTGTCTGGAAATATCGTTTGGTAGAATATCTTTCATAACCATTTGCATTGGAGTGTAATGACGCTCTGTTATAATTGGCTATGAAAGATATTACAGGGACATTCATACGCCCAGCTTTGGTTTTACTACCAGTGCAAGTGAAGTAAAAAAAATCATTAACGGACAAAAAGAAATCCTACGCACTTAGCCATGATCGAGTTTGCAGTGAACATTGGATCTATTTCAGTGATTGCCTCGTAGAGTTTCTGACACCATAATTTACTCATATGATTCCTCCATGGTATATACCTACAGATTGCAAATTTGTTTTAGTAATACCATTGTACTAAAGTAATAGAAAAATCAAAGGTCTCCATCGAAATTTACATGGTTCTTATTTTACTGCCTGATATCAGCAAAACGGTCGAGAAATTCAATATTAAGAGAAGTAGGTAAAACTTATTGCAAGAATTATTGAATGGTGGGGTTTGTATGCGTGATGTCACTGCCATTTGAAACTGATTTCTCGGATATTTTGAGGACATTTATACCAATGCGTGATAGCTTTTGCGCACTATATATACAAAAATGACGATATCTAATAGTAGCAACATATTCATAAAAATATTAGTATTTAAAGTGTTAACTAAATTATTCTTGCAAATTATAATAATGAAAAATATATACATAATATAGATATAAACAACATCTCCCCTCATCAAGAAAGAGAAAGATATAAGCAATAAATTATCTTACATATTAGTCAAACGTACATATAATTAGTATTTCATAAGGATATATCTCATGCAAGCTCCAACATATATGCAGAGTAAAGCCATGTAGTACTTCTAAACATACGAAAATGCTTCTGATATAAAAAAAATTCTTTACCATTAATGTGCCTAATCATAATGTAGCATGCAGGATTCGTGTATGTTGTTTTCCTAATGGAAGCAATTTGGTTGTAACTACTACTTCAACAATTGGAGGAGTTGAATGAGCCTACTCTTCAAAGAGTTCCAAGGCCAGTAGTACAGCCAAACATTCCTTCTCTATCGTGTAATAATTTATCTGGTGCTTATACAACGTTTTAGAAAAACAGCACATTGGATGACCCACACCATTGTTGCATTGTTTTTATCCTGTGCAATTCTCAGCGAACTTATATATCGCTTGCGTCAACATATATTTTAAAAGATTGATTGAAATAATAACCTATCAAAAGCCTCCTGACGTTTGTCCGACCAATCAAACGTGGTTTTCGTACATAACAAAGTAGTCAGGAGTTCAGTAATAATGGACCAATTAGAGCACAATATCCAACAATATCGAGCCATACCCAAACGTCGCGTCTGTTGCTTCTTAACGGATATGCACTTGGAATTTAGAGATAGCCTTGACCGTAATGTATAGAGGTTTCATTTGATAGTGTCCCTCATGTCCTAAAATGTAACACAAGCACGTCACATTTTACTTTAACTCTAATTAATTGTCAAATTTCCATGACTGAGTAGATCAAACAACATTCAAATTATTTCCAAGTTACCTTTCAAGTTAACATGTACATCATATGTCGGAAAGAAAAACTGGAAGCATTCATCCCGGACGATATCACTGTATATTAATAAAGTCCATCTGGAGTAACGGATGCTGAAATTTCCTTTGCTGATTCCGTAAATAAAATCTGCAAAAGATGCCTTCAAGTTTTGATATAATAGCATTTCCAATTATGTCGATTTAGTTTTCAAATCTTGGTATTATAAATTAATCTAGTTTGATTATACTGTTTTCTTTGCTTTAATCAGTACAAAGACGGAAAGGATTATTTGATTTCGGCCTTTGAATATATGGTTAACTCCAATTAAGTTTGCTTTCATCGATGAAGACATTCTTTCAAATATTGAATTTCTTTTATCAAAGAGTCTTGTTTGAGAGGATTCGTGTTGCAAAGCTGTTGCTTTACAGGTGTAGGATCTACAATTCAATGTCATGCTAGAAGATGGAACATATGGAAACAAGTGTTTATATTCATTTATTAGCTGTTTGATTTCACTCTTTCCTTGTGACAGCATGCACAAATTTCGTGTCCAGATAATCTGATATATCCGAATTTCAAAGATTGGTTATCTCAAAATCACTACAGTCCGATTTCATGTTTTCATACAAAATCCTCACTGCTTAGGAACACATAGATCTAAATAAATCTCGTGTCAAGATTGTTTGATATTTCCGAATTTAATTTCAAAGATTGGTTACCCTAAAATCAACACCGTTTGACTTCATGTTTCCACTGAAAATCCACTCTTAGTGGGAACAGATAGATCTAAACAGATTGAATAATATTCGGTCAATTTCTATGCTTACTTCATAATTAACATGAAACAATTGTTTATACTTTGCAAATCATACATTGAATGTCAATATTTTAAATTAAGAGACTTCTTTTCTTTCTAAATTTTTAATGACCATAATACCTAAACTGAATATGATCTTAAACTGATTCCATTACAGCAAACAGATACATCAACACGCGTCCCACCTTTTTCTTTATTGAAGCAACATGACCTAATCATGCTCTTCAAAGTTTGATAAAATCTTTCCAATCTTCCTTAAATCTAGAGCTGATAGACTGTAGATTTAAACTTTGCGATAATTAAATCACGCAATAATTGTTGGAACATTCCAGACATTAAATTTGATCCTTAATTAGATTGTACAGATGTTGGGAAGGCCACGAAATGTGAACAAAATTCTCTAAGCTTTTGATGATATTTTAGTTTTTATATTCCTCAGATGAATAGCCTCTTGAAGTATTTTGGGCGTACATATTATGGTCAACAATTATTGGTTGCCTAATTTGGGCTTAGATAATGACTTAACACAATCTACGATTATTCTACTAAATGGTTTTTTAAAATGCAGGAATAAGTTGCAGATAGCCTTAGGTATCCTATGATTAGATTTTCATATCATATGCCAAGGGTAAAAATTCCACAGTATTTAGAAGCCTCACTTTTAATTTTCGGCCAATAAAAGTTATATAAGATATTGTGATAATATTATTGGCAGTTAAATAACAAGCCAATGGAGTTTCATGGGAAAGACAAAAATGTCCTGTCTCTATGATTAGGAGCAATATTTTGATAGCTTACTGAAGACTCGTCACCATCAAGTACCTCAAGTGGCAGCCAATTACTTATGTCGCTTCAGTTTCGCTAATAGTTCTGTGAACAAAAACTAAGATATCAGAATCTTGGTCCTGTGAGAAAACAAGTTATTTTCATTCCTCATCTTCATTAGTATTAGGTGAATGAGTATTAAAAGGAGTATCCCTGTCATCAATACCTTTCTTGATTGATCCGAATCAGAAGCAAAAGTGACCCCATCAAAAGCCTGACTAATACATGTGTCAACTAGAGGAATAATTTCCAGATCAAAATCATTTCAAGAGCTTTCTT